CTTCCCCACAAGGATGCTGAATGAAGTTGATGTTGGTCCATCCAGGAGATTAGAGGTGCACAGAGAGAAGGAATATTAATATGACTTCTATAGGACTATGGGAAATTCTACAAAGTTATGAATAAGGACAAAATAACACTGAGAAGATTTTCTGCCATAGAAAAATCATACTCTCCTCTGAGTGATTTACTGAATGTTACATAAAAATGGAGTGTGGACACACAGTATTCAGACTCCAGCTTGCAGCTGTCAGTGTCTACAATTTCTCAATCTGGCTGGAGGATGATTTGGAGGTTGATTTAATTGTAGCTTGTGAATCATGCTAGTCCTCATGTTTTAAATTGTTTAACATAAATATATAAATGTTAAAGTGATTTTAAGACTGTAAATATTTATCATGAAGAATAAAACAATCTCATTTTCTTCTACAAGAATAGCTGGAAAAAAGGCTCAGAAATAAAACCCCATTACCTGACAGTAGTAGCTGCTCTATAACTGTAGCTAATTTGCACTTATGACAGGAAAGTCCATTCATAAGGTGTCAGAAGGAGTAGAGAACACACCATTACAAAAAAGAGGCTTATGAATGAACTGATCAGTTTGAAGAGGAATAAACATCTTCATCTGTTCAGGAATATTTGGAGATCACAAGTGACCAGCTGGCAAGGCTGCACTATCGGGTTCCTTAGCCGCAACACAACAGCCTATGCATCTTTTTCCCTTTAGGCACAGATTGCATTCTTGAAGATGTTAGCAGCAAAACACAGCTCTGCCAGGGTTGTGAATTCAGCCAGTACTCTGCTGACCGGTCTCTCTACCTCTTGACAAACTTAGTAAGATTTCTACGCATCATCTAACTCTCCCCCTCACTACAGCTCTGCCAGGGTTGTGAACTCAGCCAGTACTCTGCTGACCGGTCTCTCTACCTCTTGACAAACTTAGTAAGATTTCTAGGCATCACCTAACACTCCCCCACACCAGCAGAGCATCCTCTGGGGAGCCCTTATTCTTCCTCTGTACGCCTTTAGCCCGTCGTTTTCGTTTTCACTTTTATACATACCTCCTTTTCTACATATTGTCTTGCCGGGTTTCCTGGCACATTCCTTGGAAATTCTTTTTACTGAAAAATGAATAGAAGACTAGAAAATAACATGGCACTCCATCATAGACCGCCAGAACATGCAACACCACTATCCAACTTAATAGACGCCTGCATTTACTGAGTTGTGAAAAATCCCCAATTCGTTGAGCCTGCACATGCAATGAGGACATGTCTATGCATCTTCTCAGAAGTCATTTAGTAGGAAATGGAAATTAGGAGCCCATTTCTACCTAAATATACGTGCTCTGGAAGAAAGAAAAATGTAGGCACAGGGGGTGGGGGAGAAAAAGGACGGACCCACCAACACACAGAAACAAAAAGAGCAGCATGCAATCATGTAAAATATGTCTACATGCCAACAGGAAAAGCCATGCAAACTACCAGTACACATGAATTAATATTGTTGAGCTCACCATCCTCGGTCAGGACATAGATGTTTAAGTACAGGCAATCTTCACTCTGGTCTTGTACGTAGGATGAAACCACATCCAAGTTATTAGTAAACCACACAGGAAGCATAACTTCGGGCAATCTTCCATCGATGATATTCTGGAGACACACGGGAGCAAACTGAGTGGAATTCCAGATATCGGACCAGGAATATGGAGGTTCCGGTGGCTGAAAACGATGCTCACCGGTCGGTGGGGCAGCATATGGAACACCAAGAAACTGGATGACAGGCCCCAAGATCTCATTATTGAGTTCTTTCTTAATCCCTCTTATCTTTCCAAAGTTAGTAGTCACCAATGGGTCTACATCATCCAATTTTTGAGTCAGCACATGGGCAGTCTGCAGCAAGCACCCCAAAAGACAGAGAGTTAATGGGGCACTCAACTCCCTGTGTACCACACATGCCATCATGGCTCTCCAAACATGATGCGGCCTCGTGCATCTGGGAAGTGCCATGGTCCCGCATCAGTTGTCTAGTTGTCTGGTCCAGTGAGGCAAATGTATGTGTATCCACTAGAGAAAGATGGTGTGATGGTAGAAAACGCCTCCGATTCCTCAAATGTGGGCTTGTCAAGAAAAGTTCAAAATGCTCTTCTTGCAGGACACAGATCCCATTGATTTTACAGGGGCAGAGGCAGCATCTTCAATCATCACTATTTATCAGAGCATCTCCTATTGACCATCCTGTTTTCCATAACAGCGATGTAGCAACTGTGGCCATTGACTGTAGATTTCCCTCTTATAAATCAGTTCCAGTTAGCTGCAGGTCTATATCCTAGAGAAAAATGAAAATAAATCATTAGTAAGAACCAGTTAATATAGACACTGTGATAACTAGATGTTTTACAAGCTATAGAAACACATTAAGAATGTCTAGAGTCAGTAAGTTGAACACTACCAAGGGAAAATTATGGCTTGATGTGAGACTACAGGTAAAATAAGTGATTATTAGATTATTGAGCAACTTGCCTGCTGACTTTACATGCACTTAAGTAGAAGCAGGCTTTGTCAAATATATAATTTCAGGAGCATTTCATGGTAAAGCATTTTTAAAATGCTGCATGTTATAAGAGAAATTTCCTCTTTATTGATACTCTAGTCATTTCAAGTAACTATAGAATCAATCAACAATCCTATTCAAAATTAGAATCCAATATGAGAAAATCATTTTTTAAAGATACTAAATTAATAACACAGACTTCCTAAACTCATTCTTGTGAAGAAGGCAAAGGTAACAGCATTACAGGAAAATGCAAGCCAGTTCAACTCTAGTTATTTATCTAAATACCCCCCCCTCATGAGGACAGGGCAGATTCCTCTCTCTCTCTCTCTCTCTCTCTCTCTCTCTCTCTCTCTCTCTCTCTCTCTCTCTCTCTCTCTCTCTCTCTCTCTCTCTCTCTCTCTCTCTCTCTCTCTCTCTCTCTCTCTCTCTCTCTCTCTCTCTCTCTCTCTCTCTCTCTCTCTCTCTCTCTCTCTCTCTCTCTCTCTCTCTCTCTCTCTCTCTCTCTCTCTCTCTCTCTCTCTCTCTCTCTCTCTCTCTCTCTCTCTCTCTCTCTCTCTCTCTCTCTCTCTCTCTCTCTCTCTCTCTCTCTCTCTCTCTCTCTCTCTCTCTCTCTCTCTGGGGTTGTGATTGTGGAATGTATAGATTACAGATTCCCTACCTTAAATTTAGGCTCAAGAATTTAACAGAGAAAGTGCTATGAGAGAACTTGCAAAAGAGAAACAAATAACCATATATTGTTTAGACCAAAGTTATTTTTCCATCAAGCTATATGTTTTGGTTCAAAATAAATTTGCAATGTGTAAATGAATTTCTGAGTCAAAGTCAATATGTTTTAAATTACAAATTTTGTTCTCACTGTCTGTGAAAGATCAAAGAAAGAATATCAAAAAAAGGAACACGGTAATTTAAAAGAACAGTCATACCTAATTGTGTCATCTTGCATATTAACACTCATCAAACATCTCACATTGTTTATTCAGTTCAACTGAAAATTCATCAGAACAAGGAGTAACGCTCAGTGAATGCAGTTCACCAGGAAGACAGAATGCAGCTCAGGAAATGTGCCTTTACTTGTCCAAACCACCTTTCAAAGCGCTTACTTTGAAAATAATAGTTTTGATTTGTGCTAGAGATGGTTCTATCCTGTTATAATACAGGAAGATTCCTGAAGAAATGCTGGTCTAGCAGTGAGGCTGCCCTGAGTGTGTTATTTCAAAGGAGACTATAAAAACTATATAGGCCAGCAGGAGATTTGGTTCTGAGGCTGGTGTTCCTTTAGCTCTGAGCTATCCATCACCAGAGGAAATAAGAAAATAAATGTCTGTCTTCAAGAGAGCTCCAGTCTGTGTTAATTCACATACTTTGGCTGTGAAAGCACATTAACATACAAAAGATAAGCTTAGACTCTTCCTCCTCACATCCTAGAACTCCAGCATCGACAGAAGATTTAGCTACACAAGCTCACTTCTGTAAAGAGTTTATTATGTCTGTGTGTGTCCTGAATCATGATGGACCACAGCAGGATTCAGTCTTTCCTGCTTACCTTTGTTGATTCAAAACACCATTTTAACACCGAAAATAGAGACCTTGTGGGGAGGCCAGCAAGGGCTCAGCCATGGTTTTTAATTCAGTTGAATTTTCAATTACAGTGATTTCTGGAAATTTATCTTCACGTAATGGATATCTCATTAATAATCTAAAATACGTGTTTGGTTCTTAACAAAATAACACTCCTTTCTGTGCCAACAAATCCTTAACATCCTTAACTCTATTAAGAACAAAGAGATCCTTCTTGTTCTGATGTGCTATCTTAACAGAAATTGAGGAGCATTAGAATTCTGCATGGCATCATGAATTTTCAAATACCCAACTATCTCATTTTACATGTAGATAATTATGGAGAACTATAATATCGACCAAAACAAGATTTCTAGAAATCACTATTATAATATCAACCATTCAGGTCAAATGAAAACTATCACTTGTTTATATTACTGAGATTTTTTTAAAAGATCTATGCTTTTAAAAGACATATTTGCTGAGTTTTTTTCCTGTGTTTACTGATGTTTTTGAAGTAGATGTCAAACCCTTAGGTTTAAT